GACGGGGTTTCACCATGTTGACCAGGATGGTCTCGATCTCTTGACCTTGTGATCCACCCGCCTCGGCCTCCCAAAGTGCTGGGATTACAGGCTTGAGCCACCGCGCCCGGCCTTGTCAGCTCTTTAGCTACTGCACTGACTCAAAGCATCCTCCTATAGAATTCCTTAGAAGTAGCCTGCCCCTAGATAAGAGATGTTGCACACTGCAGCCTCTTCACTGCGCACAGCCCATCTCCTTGCCTCGGTGACCTAATGGGGGTGGACCCTTTGCTTATCGCACACGTGATTGTCTTGACCCTATTACTGTTCTTAAGATGACCTCACTCAATACCCTGCCCCCTAACCTATACCCAATAAATACAGACGCTCCTGAACGTGCGGGGCCTTGCCTGTCTCCGCTTAAGTGGTGTGGCCCCCTGAGCCCAGCTATGTTTTCCAGTCCTTCTGTGTCCTGTCTCTTTATTTGTTGGATCCTGTGCCTCAGCACAGCGCTAGGGGACACCACATGACCCTGTAGGGCTTGTACTACAGATGTTAATAAAGCCTGAATTATCATGGACTGAATCTCATATTGGATAGAGGCAGAGAGGACAAGAACAAATGGGGATCCAACGAGGAGAGGAGGGTGATGGGACTAATTGGAAATATGAAACCAAAGGGGCTGGTTTAGATGTAGGAACACACCATCACGCCATTGAAGGAATATGAATTAGTGAATCCAAGAAAGACAAGTAAGGGAGGGGCTGGGTCTCCTATTGTGACCCCTTATTTTCCTTATCCTAGGGGATGCTCTCCCTGGTCCTGAATTGCATTGACCGCTTAAATGTCTACACCACCGCTGCCCACTTTGCCGAGTTTGCAGGGGAGGAGGCAGCCGAGTCCTGGAAAGAGATTGTGAATCTTCTCTATGAACTCCTGGGTATGGGGTCCCAGTCCTGACTCCCCCGAGAACACCCCAGATCCCCAGTCCTATTGGATCTGACACCTCTTCTCCTCCTCAGCCTCTCTGATCCGTGGCAACCGTAGCAACTGTGCCCTCTTCTCCACAAACTTGGACTGGCTAGTCAGCAAGCTGGATCGGCTGGAGGCCTCGTCTGGTAGGAGAAACCGGGGGAGTCGGACAAGGGCTTGTGGGAGTGGATGGCCATGGCTGCTTCACCTCTCACTCTGGGCACCCTGGCAGGCATCCTGGAGGTTCTGTACTGTGTCCTCATTGAGAGTCCGGAGGTTCTGAACATCATCCAGGAGAATCACATCAAGTCCATCATCTCCCTCCTGGACAAGCATGGGAGGAACCACAAGGTCAGCCCCTCACCCCTCATCTCTCATCCCATGAACTCTGAACCCTGACCTCTCCCCAGGGCCCCAGAACTCTGCTCACACCCTTACTTCCCTCCTCCATCTCATCTCTCACCTGTACGTCACTTCCACTGGCTTCCATCTCAACAGGGGTCTCAAACAATGGCTCTTAAGTTGATTCCGGGCCAAAGAGGTGCTTGGTTAGATCTCGGAAATGTTTTGTGTTTTTTTTTTTTTGGACAGAGTCTTACTCTGTCACCCAGGCTGGAGTGCAATGGCATGACCTTGGTTCACTGCCGCCTCTGCCTCCTGGGTTCAAGCAAGTCTCCTGCCTCAGCCTCCAGATCAGCTGGGATTACAGGCTCCTGCCACCACACCTGGCTAATTTTTGTGATTTTAGTAGAGACAAAGTTTCACTATGTTGGCCAGGCTGGTCTTGAACTCCTGACCTCAGGTGATCCATCCTCCTCAGCCTCCCAAAGTGCTGGGATTATAGGTGTGAGCCACTGTGCCTGGCTGGGGGCTGAAATGTTTTTAAACTTTTCAAATTTTATAGCTTCTAGGTGGGCTGCATATATTTACTCTGCAGTTTGCCACAGCCCTGTAAGTTCCACATTATTTCTAACCACTTCATGCATTTACGTGGTCGGTGCAAAAGTAATTGCAGTGTTTGCTATTAAAAGGATTGACAAAAACCGCAATTACTTTTGCACCAACCTAATCCCAGCACTTTGAGAGGCTGAGCCAGGCAGATCACAAGGTCAGGAGTTCAAGACCAGCCTGGCCAACATAGTGAAACCCTGTGTCTACTAAAAATACAAAACTTATCTGGGCATGGTGGTGGGTGCCTGTAGTCCCACCTACTCGGGAGACTGAGGCAGGAGAATTGCTTGAACCCAGGAGGTGGAGGTTGTGGTGAGGTGAGATCACACCATTGCACTTTAGCCTGGGTGACAAGAGCGAAATTCCATCTCAAAAAAAAAAATGTATATCTATATAAAACCTTGATTCCTGTGGCTCTCACTGGTCCTTTCACTCTGCCCTCTAACCTCTTACCTCGCTACTCCAGTATCTCCCTACTTACACTGCTGATGCCTTATGCCAACACATGTGACTCTCCCTCAGCCTCTTGCCAGATCTTCCCCTTTGACCCTTGACCTTTTCCTAATCCCTGACCTTCCACTTTCACCACCTCCTCCCAGTCGAAATTGCCACGTCTCATCCCGATGTGCCATCCTTTCCTCCCGGATTCCCTCCCTCCCAGGGTCCTTCCATAGACCCTGCCCTGCTGCCTACACACCTTTCAACCTCTGACCTTGACCTCCAGGTCCTGGACGTGCTATGCTCCCTGTGTGTGTGCAATGGCGTGGCTGTTCGCTCCAACCAAGATCTTATTACTGAGAACTTGCTGCCTGGCCGTGAGCTGCTGCTGCAGACAAACCTCATCAACTATGTCACCAGGTCTGGCTCCTAATGTCTGACCCCAGAACTCAGAACCTCTCAACCCTCTCCCTGACTCGGAGACTCCACATCCAGGTGGATGTCCCTTCCTTAATCTCCCACCCCAGGGCTAACACCCAGTCCTCACAAATGTCCACTGTGCCCCATTCACCCTTGGCGTTCACTCCTCTTGTTCTGTCTTCCTGGCTCCATTTCTGCCTCTGTTTCTCTCTCTCTCTGTGTTTTCTCTTTGTCTTTGCCTGTTTCTGTCTCAGTCTTCCTCCATCTCCAGCTCCCTGTCTCTCTCCATCTCTGTCTTTGGATGCCTGTCTCTCTCCCACTTCCTACCACGTGCTCTCCTTTCTACCTCTCCCTCACACCCCTCCTGTTCCCTCTCTTCTGCAGCATCCGCCCCAACATCTTTGTGGGCCGAGCAGAGGGCACCACGCAGTACAGCAAATGGTACTTTGAGGTGATGGTGGACGAGGTGATTCCATTTCTGACAGCTCAGCCTACCCACTTGCGGGTGGGCTGGGCCCTCACCGAGGGCTACAGCCCCTACCCTGGGGGCGGCGAGGGCTGGGGCGGCAACGGGGTCGGCGATGACCTCTACTCCTACGGCTTTGATGGACTGCATCTCTGGACAGGTACCTGACCCTCACCCCTGACCATTGACCCCGGTATTTCTAAGACTCTGACCATACACCTTGGGGTTCTCAGGATCCTGACTCCCAGAAAAGGCCTGATTTTTACCTTTTATTCCTCATTTCCCAAGACCATAACCCTAGAGCTTCCCGATTCCTGGCTCTGACCTTGTTACCTGCAGAACTCTGATCCCAGAGTAGCTATGACCGCTGACCCTAGATATCTCAGAAGACCACTCAGAATACTGTGATCTCTGATCTCTGACTCCTGACCCCAGGAAAATTTTTTATTTATTTTTGTTTGTTTGTTTATTTATTTATAGACGGGGTTTCACCATGTTGGTCAGGCTGGTCTTGAACTCCCGACCTTAGGTGATCCGCCCGCCTTGGCCTCCAAAGTGTTTGGATTACAGGCGTGAGCCATCACGCCCGGCTATTTATTTATTTTGAAACAGAGTCTCGCTCTGTCGCCCAGGCTGGAGTGCAGTGGTGCGATCTCGACTTGCTGCAACCTCCACCTCCCAGCTTCAAGCTCCTCACCTTCCTCAGCTTCTGAGTAGCTGGGATTACAGGCGCCCACCACCATGCCTGGCTCGTTTTTGTATTTTTAGTAGAGACGGGTTTCACCATGTTAGTCAGACTGGTCTCAAACCCCTGACCTCAGGTTATCCATCCACCTTGGCTTTCCAAAGTGCTGGGATTACAGGTGTGAGTCACCGCATCTGGCCTACAGGAGGATTTAATCTCTGGCCCCACAGCTCAGAATCCTAACTTCAGGGGAATCCTGACCTCTGCCCTTCATTTCAAAGCTGTAGGAGCATCCAAGGCAATGGTTTCCATTAGGGTTTCCAGGATACAGTCCCCACAGGAGCCTCCAATATCTGTCCCTTTTCTCTCAGTATCATTGGTTTTGTGGGACCTGTGACATCTGACCCCTCTCTGGTGACTTTGATGCAGGACACGTGTCACGCCCGGTGACTTCCCCAGGGCAGCACCTCCTGGCCCCTGAAGACGTGGTCAGCTGCTGCCTGGACCTCAGCGTGCCGTCCATCTCCTTCCGCATCAATGGCTGTCCCGTGCAGGGCGTCTTTGAATCCTTCAACCTGGACGGGCTCTTCTTCCCTGTTGTCAGCTTCTCAGCTGGTGTCAAGTGAGAACTTGCCCCCACCCCACAGCCAGTCCTCAGACCTAGCACTGACCTGAGACAGCTTCTCCAGTCACTCCGCAGCCTCCCAGGAGGCCAGGCCACAGCAGTGACTCCAGAACCTGATGATGATCTCATGACTCCCGACCTTCCTTAACCCCCTAATGACCTCAGACTCTCCCGATGACAATGTACTCTCTCAGTAATCTCTTAACAATGCTGGCATCTCCAATGACCTTTCAATCGGCTCACTTGCCCAGTGACCCTACTCCTGAGTAACTTGCTATTCCAAAGACCCCTCAATGATCCAGTCCTTTCCCAATGACCCCAATCTCTCTGAATGTCCATTCAGTGGTGATTATGTTTATCTCATAATTATAATAGATGCTCAGTGACTTCTCAATGACCTTCTTCTTGGTCTCCCCAAACTTTCCAGTGTCCCCGCATGCTCTGTTGACCTGGAGTCCCCTCTGAAGGACTGTTCCATGAACTTGCAGGCATCTGAACTCTTCTGGATAACTGCAGACCCTCCCACTCTCAACTCCCTGGCTCCCAATCCCCTTATGATATTCCTTTGACTGTAGACTTCCTTTATGACTTTTTTTTTTTTTTTTTTTTTTTGTGGTTTTTTTTTTTTTTTCTTTTTTTTTTTTTTTTTTTTTTTTTGATGGCGTCTTGCTCTGTCGCCCAGGCTGGAGTGCAGTGGCATGATCTGGGCCCACTGAAACCTCTGCCTCCTGGGTTCAAGCGATTCTCCTGCCCCAGCCTCCCGAATAGCTGGGAGTACAGGTGCCCACCACCATGCCTGACTAATTTTTGTATTTTTAGTAGAGACAGGGTTTCACCATATTGGCCAGGCTGGTCTTGAACTCTTGATCTTGTGATCCGCCTGCCTTGACCTCCCGAAGTGCTTGGATTACAGGTGTGAGCCACCATGCCCGACCCCTTTATGATTTCTAAATGACCTCCAGGACACTATGACTGCCCAGGGAGTTCTGGGGAGACCTCAGATCTCCCCAGAACTTTCCATTGATCCCAGGACTGCTTCCATGTCCCCCACTGACCACAGACTGCCCCCCATAACCCCCCTAAATGATCCTTATTGTCCTTCCCCAGGGTGCGGTTCCTCCTTGGTGGCCGCCATGGTGAATTCAAGTTCCTGCCCCCACCTGGCTATGCCCCGTGCCATGAAGCTGTGCTCCCTCGAAAGCGACTCCATCTTGAACCCATCAAGGAGTATCGACGGGAGGGGCCCCGGGGGCCTCACCTGGTGGGCCCCAGTCGCTGCCTCTCACACATCGACTTTGTGCCCTGCCCTGTGGACACTGTCCAGGTACTGGCTGCCCTGCAAAGGCTTTCCGGTGAGGCAGGATCTCTTAGGAGCCAGAGAGGGGGCTGGGTGCCGTCTTTCACACCTGTAATCCCAGCACTTTGGGAGGCTGAGGAGGGCAGATCATCTGAGTCAGGAGTTCAAGACCAGCCTGGCCAACATAGTGAAACCTTGTCTCTACTAAAAATACAAAAATTAGCATGGTGGCAGGTGCCTGTAATACTAGCTACTTGGGAGGCGGAGTCAGGAGGATTGCTTGAACCTGGGAGGCAGAGGTTGCAATGAACCAAGATCGTGCCACTACACTCCAGCTTGGGCAACAGAGTGAGACTCCATCTCAAAACAAACAAACAAAAACAACTAACATACATTTTGGGAAGCTGAGGTGGGAGCCTCACGCTTGAGCCCAAAAGTTCGAGACTGGTCTAGATAACCCCCGTCTTTACAAAAAAAAACCTTTTTATATGTAAAAATTTAAACATTTTTTAAAAAAGGAGTGAGAGAGGTGGGGAGCTGCCCTAGAAGCTGGGAACCTCGTTGTTTAACAGATGGAGAAACTGAGGCACAGAGAGGCAAAGGGTTCTGTCAGTGCAGAATTGGAGTCTCAGGGAATCCTCACCGCTGTCCCACAAAGAAAAGGTGGCTCACACCTGTGATTCCAGGACTTTGAGAGGCTGAGGCAGGAGGGTCACTTGAGTCCAGGAGTTCAAGACCAGCCTGGGCAACATTGCGAGACTCTGTCTCTGCAAAAAATTAAAAGTTAGCTGAGGTAGTGGTGCATGACTGCTTCTCCCAGCTACTTGGGAGGCTGAGATGGGAGGGTCACTTGAACCCAGGGGTTTGAGGCTTCAGTGAGCTATGATTGCACCAATGTACTCCAGCCTGGGTGACAGAGCAAGACCCTATCTCAAAAAGTAAGAAAGAAAGAAAAAGCCTGGGTGTGGTAGCTCATGCCTATAATCCCAGCACTTTGGGAGGCCAAGACAGGCAGATAACCTGAGGTCAGGAGTTCAAGACCAGCCTGGCCAACATGGTGAAGCCCCCATCTCTACTGAAAATAAAAAATGAGCCAGGCGTGGTGGCAGGTGCCTGTAATCCCAGCTACTCAGGAGGCTGAGGCAGGAGACTCGTTTGAACCTGGGAGGTGGAGATTGTACCACTGAGATCACACGACCGCACTCCAGCCTGGGTAACAGAACAAGACACCGTCTCAAGGAAAGAAAGAAAAAAAAGGACTGTTACTGCCCCCGGTTTACAGTTGAGGAAAGCAAAGCCCAGAAATGCTAAGTAACATATGCAATTCACACAGCCCATCTGAATCCAGGTGGTCGGATTCTGAAGCCTGTGGTCCTACCCACTACAGTTTGCTGGGTGTGTCTTCTATCCCAGGCTCCTCACCGCCCACTTTCCCTCCAAGCATGTTCCTATAGGAGGGAATATAGGTTGCGCTTAAAAGCTGGACAGCAAGGGTTTGGTTTTCAGTCATGTGATCTCTGGCAAGTGACTTTGCCTCCCTGAGCCTCAGTTTCCCCCTCTGTGAGGAAAGGGGATAACACCAGGACCTATCTGGTAGCATTATTGTGAAGGTGAGATGAATGGATATAGACAAGATGCTCAGTCCAGTCCTGATTAAACAGTTAGAGCTTAAGACAGTCATTCGTTATTAGTAGCAGTGATATAGTCTCCGGGGGTGACCTCACCATCCCCCTGTCCCCAGACCAGCACCCTGGGCCTCATCCTGGATGGCTCTGTCCCCGTCCACCAGCCTGTCAGCCTCACGGGCTGTCCACTCGGCCCCCGAGACATCCCCCTGCCCCCTTTCCTCCTCCCCATGTCCCACCTGAGTCCAGGCCATCATCGCCTCTTGCCTGCAGAACACCAACACCACCAGTGTGTCTTTTAGGCTCTTACCCTGTGCCAGGCATCAATATTAACTACATAACATTAAGTAATTTACATCAGTGATTTCACCGAGTCCTTATTAGGTATCACTATGATCCTCGTACAGAGAAGGAGACTCCTCTATTCTATTCATTCAGCAAACATTTGCTGAGCCCCTCTTCTGGGTCTGAGTCTGGTTCTGAGCTGGATAGGGCTGGGGACTTGGTGGAGACCAGGGCAGCCCCAGCCCCGCCCTCATGGAGCTCCCAGTCCACCGGGGAGACAGACATATCCCAGATAATTCCTTATTTTTTTTTCTCTCTCTCTAATTTTTTTTTTTTTTTTTTTTTTTTTGTCCATTTCTTGAAATAAGAAGACCACTAATGTCTAACCATCAGCCCAAATTTTGTGAATGACTTTTTTTGAGACAGAGTCTTGCTCTATTGCCTAGGCTGGAATTCAGTGGTACAGTCTTGACTCACTGCAACTTCTGCCTCCAGAGTTCAAGCGATTCCCCTGCCTTAGCTTCCCAAGTAACTGGAATTACAGGAGTGCACCACCACGTCTGGCTAATTTTTGTTTTTAGGAGAGATGGGGTTTGAGCCAGGCACAGTGGCTCACATCTGTAATCCTAGCACTTTGGGAGGCTGAGGTGGGCAGTTCACCTGAGGTCAGGAGTTCAAAACCAGCCTGGCCATCGTGGTGAAACCTCATCTTAAAAAAAAAAAAAAAAAGAAGAGATGGGGTTTCGCCATGTTGCCCAGGCTGGTCTTGAACTTCTGGCCTCAGTCAATCGCCCCTCCCCCCTTAGCCTCCCAAAGTGCTGGAATTACAGGCGTAAGCCACCATGCCAGGCCCTGAATAATTCCTTAATTCTGAGGATACTAAGCCCTCACTCATCTTAGTGTCAACCCTGGAGTCCAAGTGAAGAATGGGGGGCAGAGCTCCAGGATGGCAGGAAACAGGGTGCTGGAGGAGCCTCTAGGGCTCCAGGTATCCTTGGGAAGAGGGGTCACAATGGAGGAGGGTAGAGGGACCTTGGAGGTCTCACGAACGTCCCTCTGCCCCTAGATTGTCCTGCCGCCCCATCTGGAGCGCATTCGGGAGAAGCTGGCAGAGAACATCCATGAGCTCTGGGCGCTGACCCGCATTGAGCAGGGATGGACCTACGGCCCGGTGAGGGGCTGCCTGCAGCCTATGGGAGGCTGGACTTGCCGTGCCAGGAGGAACACATCCCTGTCGGGAGGAGGGAGGGATAACAGGGAACCGGGGGTCATGGGACTGAGGGTGGCAGACCTAGGGTTGGAAGTTGGGGGGCACAGTCTGGGCATTCTGGAAGTGGGGAGAGAAGGGGAGCCTGAGGCGTTGACCCCGGGGTTTCTCCAGGTTCGGGATGACAACAAGAGGCTGCACCCATGTCTTGTGGACTTCCACAGCCTTCCAGAGCCTGAGAGGAACTACAACCTACAGATGTCAGGGGAGACGCTCAAGTGAGGGCCCAGGGGAGCCGGGGGCCGGGGCTGGTGCTGGCGTGGTTGGGGAGAGGGGCAAGGAGAGATGGGGCAGGAGGTAGAGACTTAGAGAGAAAAAAGATGGAGGGGACAGGGGTTGTGAGACAGAAACAAACGGGGAGAGGCCGGGCACAGTGGCTCACGCCTGTAATCCCAGCACTCTGGGAGGCCAACACGGGAGGATCACTTGAGGTCAGGAGTTCGAGACCAGCCTGGCCAACATGGCGAAACCCCATCTCTACTAAAAATACTAAAATTAGCCAGGCATGGTGGTGCACGCCTGTAATCCCAGCTACTCAGGAGGCTGAGGCAGGAGAATCACCTGAATCTGGGAGGCGGAGGTTGCAGTGAGCCAAGATCATGCC